AGAGAGAGAGAGAGAGAGAGAGAGAGAGAGAGAGAGAGAGAGAGAGAGAGAAACAAAAAGCACTGACAGATATAGACAAAACTATCTGATAGACAAACAGGGAAGGAGAGACAGACAGGCTGATATAATGATATATTAAGAGGTAAAAAGTAAAGTAAAGCTGTTCCCGCTTCCGATCCGGACATTGGGGATTGCCTCGTTAGTGAGACAACTCCCTGGGCCTTCGGCATATTGTGGTAGGGTGGCCAGTTCCTTTCCTCGAATCCTTTACTTCCCCAACTCGAAGTCAGGTACCCATTACTGCTGGGTGGGCAGGAGGGGGCGAAAAAAATCCGTGTCCGAACTGAGGCTCGAACCCGGACTTTCCGCTTCGGAGACGAGCGCACTAACCGCTCCGCCACCGCACTTTCAAGAGGTAAGTGTGAAAAAACCCCCTCAATAAAACAAACAACAAACAAGCAAACAAGCAAGCAAGCAAACAAACAGACAAACACACAAACTGACAAAGAATCAGCGCCTATATCCTGATTACACTTACCCCTGATCTGAGTCTGGGAGTATTTGTCCAGAATATTTGTGTCTTCCACCTGAAAACAGAAGAAAAAAAAAGTAAAGATTTATATTTAGTTTAGTACATTTTTTACGGCGCTCGCAACTGCATAAGGTCATATAAGTGCCAAAGGGTTGATGTCAATAGAGAAATCTATACAGGGAATCAGACTTACTCTGCTCACCTCTCTAGCCTCAACAGCACAAAGTCTACTTCGACTAGCAGGGCACCTCGGAAATAGCGGGTCACAAGAGTGTGACAAACATTCAAAAGAAGTAGAGGAAAATGACGATAGCAAGGATAAGGGAAATAGAAAAAGCAGCAGGTCCCCCTATGTTGTTCGGGCACAATATGAGCATGACATTGATAAATCAGGTCATTTACAATTCTACTGTGCATAAGAACATGTTAATGTCTCCCCTAAGGGAATGGCCTAAAGACACTTCAGTCAGTGGCACCACCCCGGGGGTAAATGATTTTTTATGTCGTCAGATACGCCTCTGCAAATAATAATAATAATAATGATGATGATTATGATAATAGGAGAAGGAGAAGGAGAAGGAGAAGAAGAAGAAGAAGAAGAAGAAGAAGAAGAAGAGGAAGAAGAAGAAGAAGAAGAAGAAGAAGAAGAAGAAGAAGAAGAAGAAGAAGA